GGTCTCTCTAAGCGAGATCCCAATTCGTCGGTCATCCGACGTGACGTCGAGAGTGACCGACTGAAAGGGAACTGAGTGTGTGGAGGACAGAGATCTGAGATTCTGAATGAGACACTGAAAAACAGACACACAAGCACTTTATAAAGCACTATATCTGAACGAGAGCGTAAGAAATAAATCAGCTCACAGTTTCTATTGACTCTCACCTCTGACTGAGATCCAGCTCTTGGGTGACTCTCCTCTCTCTGAGTGTTTGCAGTAGTAGAAACCCTCATGTGACTTTGAGACAGTAGAGATGATCATCTCTGTATTCTTCTGGATTCTGGATGAGTGATCCATCTTTATAGAAATCAGCGCGTAGAGTCAGATTATCTCCTTCAGTCACAGGATGAACAGGACTCTCCATAATCACATCAGCTACAGAACAGAGGAAACATGAGCTGTTGGCAAATAGTAAGACTATATGAAAAATATGATAACAAAAAATAAAGGTTTTATGTTTTATGATAAAAGTAGATTTTTTTGTACTGCCTGCCACTGAGTTTTTTTTTTACCACTGATGCGTCCTGCACTTGTTTAATCGACCTGCTTTATGTATTGATGTGTAAACTGCCAGTGAAATAAATAAATACATAAACAGACTCAAAGTGTACAGTGATATTAACAGGATGATAGTTCTCTCCAGATTCAGACTGACACCAGTACACTCCAGTGTCTGATGTGATGGTGGAGTTGATTGTACATGTAGATCCTGTTTGTGATGCCCGGCGTAATGATGAACAATCTTCCAGCCCCAAACTATCTGTGTATCTTCTCACTCTCCATCTATCAGAGTTACTCTGGTCCTCACAGCTCAGAGAGAGAGGGACAGATGGGAAGTGTTGAGTTCTGCTGGGACTGATGATCAGAGAGACTCGAGGAGAAACACCTGAGAAGACAATTACAACTCTTTGGAAATGTTTTAAAACAATTTAAGCATGAAATCTCCCTTTTTAAATGGGTTAAACATTTTTGCTAGGCCTGTTTAATTGTTTTTCTTCAGGTTCACTAATAAAAATAATATTAATGAATAACATATGTGTTCCGTACCAAGTCATGCTTCAGTTTTTAATGAATATTTCCTCTATTACAAATTGGAGAGGAATTTTTGAATAGTACATCATAGCTCTCAAAACACCAAGAAAACTCTGATTCCTCTTGATATGACTAGATGCATCATTCATTGTATCATACAACACACTCTCATACATTCTTCTTTCAGTACTGTCTCATTCAAACTGATCCTGTTTGAACTCACCAGTGACCCATACTGGCTGTGTGTTGCTGAAGGTTGTTTTATAGGCTGGTTCTCCTCTCTCTGCTCTGCACACATAAACTCCTGTGTGTTTTAGAGCAGCAGAACTGACAGTGTAGTTTCCTCCAGCTCCTCTGCTGCTGTCTGAGAGCAGTTGAAAATATATGTTGTCTACAAAACATGAGAATTCATGTAGATTTCACCTTAAGGAGCTTTTGCTGTATGATTTTACGCTTATACATTATGTTTGTTGGGGTAACTCAGTGTATTCAGATTAACTGAAACAGGGCCAGATCAAAGCTCATGGGAGTTAAGGGTCACCAGTAAAACCAATTAATAAAACCAGTTAATTGAGTTGCATGAAGCACATTATATCTTACCTGATGAAGCAGTTAGAGTGTACCAGCTGAATGTCCAGCCTGTAGAGGAGCCGTAAACCTCACAGATCAGCGTCACTGGATCTCCTTCAGTCAACCACTTCTGAGGAGAAACACTTAAAACTGCCTGGGCTCTATCTGAAATAGAGAAATCACTCATTAATAACATGTAAAGAGTGTGTGTATGTGAAGAGATGATCAAACTCACTTGATACTGTCAGTGTAACTGCATCACTGTCTTGTGAGCTGCGTGATCCTCCTCTCTCTGCTCCATAACAGAAGTATTTACCTGCGTCAGACTCAGTAAAAGGACTGAATGTGTGTTCCTGTAGTTCACTGAAAACACTGTTTGAACTGTCTTTATACCAGCTGTACTGCCAGCTAGTGACTCCTTCACCATCAATGTCACATCTGAGAGTGACTTTCTCTTCTCTGAATACATGTTGATCAGGTTTAATGCTCACTTTGGCTTTTGGTTTTTCTGTGCAATGACAACAATTTACAATCAAAACAATGTGCTGTTTTTACAGAATAAAAACGTGAGTACAAAACATACATGCTAAATCAGGTTAAAGTGTTGTTTTCTATAGCTATTACAGTCAATTATTTAGGCTTATGAAATCATTTGTGCAGTATGTAAGTAAATAAGGAAATGCACTTGCCGTATATTGTCACTGTTACTGTTCACTGTAATCTGTGTAATGTCCTTCTCTTCGTGCTCTGCACCTGTACTCTCCTCCATCAGAGACTTTCACTGAACTGATTGTTTTAATTGCAGCTTCAGTAGATTCAGTGTTTGAGTTTTTACTCCAGAGAAACTCCCATCCATCCCATGACTGATCCACCTCACATCTGAGAGTAACTGAGTCTCCAGTGAACAATGAACTCTGTGGCTTAACAGTCAGAGTTGGTTTGGGAATATCTGTCATTATAAAATCATTATAGTAGCATAAGTCGTGAAAATATTTCAGCAGAAGATTTCATTCTCTCATTGGTAAACATGGTGTATGAGTCATTTAATGTATTTGTTAACGTCAATTTAGTGATACTTGCTGGCTAAAGAATGTTAGTCATGTGAAAGATTGTTTAAATATCGTGTCCCTTGTGAATGAAGTAATGGACTCGTGGAACTAAGACGCCAGCAGATTTAAGGTTTAAATCGTTGTTTACAAGTTTGTTTTGGATAACGCCATTGTACTAATTGTTTCTTTTTATTTATTATTTTTTTATGTCAATAAACTAAACCATCGTATCATACCATCTCATCATTGGAGCACTATTGAATTCGCTGTAACGGCGTCTAGATGAAGTGACATATGGAAATCACACCTTTGTCACTACACTAGGTTTCTGCCGGTTTTATGAAAATTAATTTAAGACTTCTTAGGATCAAGTAAAGAAAACTTAAATTGAATGAAAAAAAAACAAAACAAGATTATGGAATTTTTTTCCACTGCAAAAAAACAAAACAAAGAAAAATGTATGTTCTTCCTCATTTCTGCCCTGTTTTCTAATGCAAATGACTAAAGATTCTTAAATCAATATTTAAAGACCACCTAAACCGAGACCAGGATCAGAGTGTGTTGAGACCAAGACAAGACCAAGACCAAACTAGCACTCCTGAAATTCATCTGAAAGATCCACATTTACTGCCTTTAAAAATCTAATATTAAATCAACAATTAGAATAAGACAAAATAGAACTGTTACCAGTCAAATTAAATCACTAAAAACATAATTAATCTTTGCACTGCAGAGGTGGCACAGAAGCTGAAAATAATATGATGGAAAAATTAAATGAATATGAATTTCAAACTAAAACCGGCAGTAGGCTTGGCGGTGGCAAATCACTTAATAAGTCACAGAATAATTTAATTAGCCAATATGTTCAAAGCAACTGATACATTCAGTAATAAATCACAGCTGTGTGTTGCTCAGAAACACACACAAATTCTGTTATGGATTTGTTTGGAACTATTTTTAAATTAAATCATGTCTGAAATGTAATTCACTTAATATTAACTTGTTTGTTGAAGGTTTGTATACAATCAATATCACATTTTGCAGTCATGCTCATATTCGCGAAAACAGCTCATGATATTGCTTAATTTTATGTTATAATATGAAACAATATCTCATACAAGTACTTAGTTTTATTCAGTTTCTCAGAAGAGAATACTTCATATCTTTATATTACATCTCAAGTAAATATATCTTGATTTAAAGATGTTTAGATAATTGTATTGGCAATTTTCCAGGCCATGCAACATTTAATGCCATGACTTCATAAATTTAAGACTCTGCTCCAATTTAAGACCTTTTAAGGCTTTGATTTGTGGAAGACTAAATTAAGACTTTTATCACCTTTTAAGGCCCACAGAAACCCTGATAAATCTTATGAGTGTATTTTAATTTCATAGACAATTCAATAAATGAAACTGCAAGCAATTATAGGAACAAGTGAGGTCGACATTCACTCAGAACGATGCAAAGAGTAAAAGGAGAACAAAGGCTTTTGCAACTAGACCATGCTAGGAATGGTTCAAAACCACAACCTTTAGGTTAGCAGCCCAGAGCTCAACCCACTATGTCACATCAGCAATGCCAGCAGTCAGAGAGACACAGCATTCAACAAAGTGTTTTGTGGGTACAGCAGTTTACGATAAAATTCTAAATGGCTAAGTAGAGATAAAAATAATAATAATAATAATAATTTATTATATTAATATATAAATATATAAAATATATAACAGCAATATATTTTACAATGTCTCATAATCAATATTACAGAAATTGTAAATATCTTAATTTCAAGATCAAGAGAAGGACCTTGTTTTTAGACCAAAGGGTTCAAAGTTATAAGCAAAAGAAAACTCCCTACACATGTTTGGTGCTTGACCCCTAAAAATCTGAACACTTTTCAACCACTTCTCAGGAGAAGCACTTAAAACTGCTCTGGGATACACTCTCCAGAGACCCCAAACATCAAAATGTGATGATAATGCTTTTTTAAAAACAAATGTAATTTTACTCAGTTTATTAATGTTTTTACTCTACATTTGTGCTGTTTTGGGATGATTTATGGATTTTCTTTTAATTTATATATATAAATAAATAAAAAAATATTTGTATTAAATATTTTATTAAATAGATTTTATATATTTTTTTACTTTTTATGCAAAATACAGTTTATAAAATACCCACATTCCTAATTTTAATTCATGGGGATAACGTGGCCAATGTGCCATAGCATAATGGGAAATTGTTTCCATCTACTTGAAAACAAACACTTTTAAAATGAGAAAAAAATGAAATTTCAACTACAGCCACCACATGGCTCTAGAGCATTACTCAGTGGCTCATTTACCATTTCCATATAGGTATAGATCTTTTCACAAGTTTTTTTAAAATTTTTATTTAGATATATGTTAAGATATTATGAAATCATTATTGTAATAATAAAAAATGACTCTTTGTCAAAGTTTAGCAGTTTTTGTACTGAAGTATGTAGTGTTATATGTGTGTATTAGTGTGTATATGTTTGTGTGTGTGTGTTTGCATTTATTCTCCATTGTGCATGTGCTGTGGTGTCCCTCCATCATTTCTGTGTGTGTTCTTCGTTGTAGCTGATTTTTATTTGACAAATTATATAAGAGAGAGCCACTCATGTCATGTCACTTTTTCATGTCTTATGAGTGGGTTTTATGGGCGTTGGGGAGTGGGGTGGGGGTTGTATGGGTTTTTCATCCACCGCGGATGTGCTGTGGTGTCACTCCTTCAGTTTTTGTGTGTTGTCTGCATTGTAACTGACATTTTTGACAAATTATGTAACAAAAAAAATCTATATTTTGTAGTCTCCCATTGATTTCTATGGGTGATTTTTTGGGGGATGGAGTGTCTGTGGGTGGTGGATGTGTGTGTGAGCGTAATCGTTCTGCATTGTGAACATGTGGAAGGGTTGCCACTTCATTTTCATGTATTTTGTGGTCTGCGTTGTGGTGGATTTAGTGATTTTATTTGACAAATTAAAACGAAAAAGTATCGATTTTATCATTTCCCCATTCATTGCAGTGTCCTAGTTCCAAACCTCCTGAGTGTGACTTTGTTTTCCCACACTAACATACAAGATATCAATCCAGTTAATTTTTTTATTTATTTGTAATGCTACCAAGTGTTGGCAACCGTACAAAGTCTCATGCCATTTCGATGAAGGGAATATTTTTTTTAATTATTATTATTTCAACAAACGTCATTTGTGGTCAAAAAGACCCCAAACAGGACCTAAGGGTTAAGAAATCACTCTTTAATAGCATGTTAAACTTGTGTGTGCACTTTGCTTGGCCATTTGTTGTGATAAACAGGAAAGTGTGTTCAAGCGCCAGCAAAACAGCGTAAAGAAATACTCTTTGTGAGAAGCAGTCAATCAGCAGAAGTGAAAAGCAGCTTGTAAGTGTATTTATTTCTTGTCTCAGTGTTTAGCGCAGTTGTCGTTGCTAGGAAACGCTTGTTTTGTTTACTGTAGAGACGTGCTGAAATCACGTTTGGTCTCGTACTGTATCGCGTACCTTGTCAGTGTCGTGCGCTTTGCTTGGCCATTTGTTGTGATAAATAGGAAAGTGTGTCCAGCTGAATTCAATTTGAGTTTTGTTAGACGAATATAAAAAGCTTAGTATACTGCAGCAGCCCTCGTGTGAAGCTCTCCTCGTGTGAAGACCGAAGAGTGTAAAGACCATTGACTCTACCGCTCGACTCCACCGAGCAGGGACACCTGCAAGGCACATAAGTATCGCTTCTGAATCATTCTCTTTCCTACTACTTGTTCCCCTTCTGTTTTCAGTTTTTATAACCAATTCTTACTATGTGTTTCCAGATCCCTACTATCACTACCACTCGCAAACCATGCATCACACACTGTAGGCAGCGCAATCCTAACAACTTGCGCAATTTGCCTGTCTATTAATACACTACTTTCTTTTTCTATTGGTCTCTGGAATTGACAGTCTGCTGTAAACAAAGCAGATTTTATTACTTCTATTACACTTCATTCAAGACTAAACCTCCTGGCCCTGACAGAGACGTGGATCAAACCAGAGGACAATGCTACACCTGCAGCACTCTCAAATAATCTAACTTGTGTGTGTATGAAGAGATGATCAAACTCACCTGATACTGTCAGTGTAACTGCATAACTGTGTTGTGATCTGCGTGATCCTCCTCTCTCTGCTCCATAACAGAAGTATTTACCTGCATCAGACTCAGTAACAGACCTGAATGTGTGTTCCTATAGTTCACTGAAAACACTGTTTGAATCGTCTTTATACCAGCTGCACTGCCAGCTAGTGACTCCTTCACCATCAATGCCACATCTGAGAGTGACTGTATCTCCTCTGAATACATGTTGAGCAGGTTTAATGCTCACTTTGGCTTTTGGTCTTTCTGTACAACAACAACAATTTACAATAAAAATAATGTGCTGCTTTTACTGTATGAACACAGTTGCCTGATAGTAAAACATTCATGCTAAATAAGGTAAGACTGAAGTGTTGTTCTCTGTAACTGTTGGGCGGTGTGGTCACTTGTATCTTATGAAATCATTTGCACACTGTACAAGGAAAAGTACTTGCTATGTATTTGCTCACTGCTAATGGTCATTTATAAAACTTGTTTAAAAAGGTGTGTTTATAATTAAATTGTTTATTTTCTCATCTGGTTTGTAACTGTTAGTGAGACATCACCCATATGTTATGAAATATATGTCAAATTCTCTCACCTTTAGTGTGTCTAGAGTGGATGTGTGAAATCAGCACTAAAAACACAAAGCGAAATAAGTCATCACAGTGTGAATACGGAACTGATCAACTTTCCTTTATACTTTAGACATAAAAGTTTAAAGGAATGCCATAATTTTTTCTCTCAAATGTTTCTCAACTCAGCTTGTTTTTTTAGATGTAGTGGCAACTGAATGAGTATTTCTGTAAAAACCTTCCAGAGTCTGAAAACAGTAACCGTTATAAGAAGTAACTCACATTAAGATATTGTTGTGGGACTACATGTATATGTGTTCAGAGAAAACACTGAAACATTTGTTTGATGTTTTATAGATTTCATCATCAAAGCAGAGAGAACTTGAACTTGTTTAGGCAACTTGAAGCAAACAGTCTGATAAAGATACGCTTTTACTAACTGCATAGTAGTGAACATTTACTAAGGCATCAGGGACAGTAAACTGTAAAACAAACCAACAGAACTGATTCAACAAACACCATTAAACAGCACACACCTGAATGACTGAACAAACACACAAATATACAACACAACAGAGTGCCTTTCATTTTTACATACTGGTAAATAATGTATAGCCTGAATGCACTGTAAGTCGCTTTGGATAAAAGCGTCTGCTAAATGCATAAATTATTATTATTATTAATTATTATTATTATTTCCCTTTCACAAGCAGCACTAACTTTCTCTTCCTCTCTCAAACTCATCTTTCACTCATATCATGGAGCTAGATTTGAAACTCAGGGTAACAAGAAAATACATAAATAAGGAACACAAAAACACTTGATTATTTGCATAATATAATAGCAATTATTATCAACTGAAATACATAGATAGAAAAAAAAAATACTCACAGAGCACAAGAGGAAGTTGACTGAGCTCCATACTGACTGAATGATGACAGACGGTTAAAGACACAAACTGTGTTAAAGCCTCAAGACTTCCTGAAACCTGCAGTCAGATCTTTAGGAACATCATGACAGATTAAAGACATGCAAATGTACCTCATGTGTTATAGAATATCTTTTGATAATATTGATAATCTTGTAACATGTTTTCAGAAAATGTCACACTAACATGCATTTTCTACACAAATGTCATGAATCATATTTGATCAAACTGATAAGCTTAGATTTCATTATTAGAATAAGTAATATTCTGGTGTGTTTATTGAATGATGGAAGCAGCAGAAACTAATGAATAACTGCTGCTCCTCCATCACTGGTTAATGACACTGACCTGAAATAGATGCTGAGTTTGGTTCTGATATATTTGTATTTGTGAACACAGTTTAATATTCACATACGAAGACAAGGGATGAGAGTCATGGAACTCCGGTTTCTCAATGAATCTGTCTCTTTAAAGGGGTCAAATGATGTTGCTAAAAAGAACATTATTTTGTGTATTTGGTGTAATGCAATGTGTTTATAACTATCAAAGAGCTGTGAAGGAGGCCAAATCAAAGTATTTCTCTGACATCATAGCTAGAAATTATCAAAGACCCAAGATTTTGTTTTCTACAATTAACTTGGTGATAAATCCGTCAAATTATCTGCACTTTGATGACCCAGTTGCTTCTTGTGAATGCTTTTTAAGGTATTTTACAAACAAGATACATGACATTAGACAGCTTATTGTCCCCATAAATTATGATCCTTCCTCTTTTTCGGCTTGTACCTCATCTTTTAATGCCTTTGAAACTATCTCGATAGACTATCTTCATAAACTGGTTATGAAGTTAAAACCAACCACATCTGAAACTGACATTTTTCCAGCACGCCTACTTATTCAGGTTTTTGATGTTATTGGGCCTTGTATCTTAGAAATAATAAATAAGAGTCTTTCTGTTGGATTTGTTCCAGAATATCTAAAGCATGCTATTGTTAAACCATTGTTGAAAAAATCTAATCTCGATGTGACAGTTCTCTCAAATTTTAGGCCAATTTCTAATCTTCCTTTTATCTCTAAAATCCTTGAGAAGGTAGTTTCTGTCCAATTATTAAATTTTTTAGACGCAAATGGAGTTTTTGAATCTTTGCAGTCTGGTTTTAGGAAACATCACAGTACAGAATCTGCTCTCTTAAGAGTGTCAAATGATATTTTATTATCTGTGGATTCTGGGAAGTCTGTAATACTTCTGCTGTTGGATTTGAGTGCGGCTTTTGATACGGTCGATCATGACCTTCTTATCTCTCGTCTTGAATATTGTGCAGGTATTAGAGGTCATGCACTGAACTGGTTCAAGTCTTATTTGAACAATAGAACCTTTTCTGTTTATATAAATGGATGTTTATCCTCCAAAGCGCGTCTGACTTGTGGGGTTCCCCAGGGATCTATTCTTGCTCCCATTTTGTTTTCTTTATATGTGCTCCCTTTGGGCTCAATTTTTTGAAAACACAGAGTACTTTTTCACTTTTATGCACTCAAATATACGTGCCCATCAAGCAAAATGATAATGCTGGTTTGTCTGCCCTAACTGCCTGTTTGTCAGATATTAAGGCTTGGATGTCCAATAATTTTTTGAACTTAAACGAGAGTAAGACTGAGGCAATTGTGTTTGGTCCATTAGCTTTTTCTGGCAGTCTAAATCAAGTGTTAGGCAGCTTAGCTGCTTATGTAAAACCATCTGTTAAAAACCTGGGTATTGTCTTTGACTCTGCCCTGCTATTTGATAAGCAGGTAAATGCAGTTATCAAATCGTGTTTTTTCCAGCTGAGACTACTGGCCAAAGTTAAAAGTTTTAAAACCTTTGCTGAGTTCGAGAAAGTAATCCATGCATTTACTGTATATCTTCTCATATGGACTATTGCAATTCAATCTATATAGGTATTGGTCATTCCTATATGAACCGCCTGCAATTAGTCCAAAATGCAGCTGCTAGACTCCTTACTGGCACTCGTAAATTTGAGCACATCACCCCTGTCTTACTCTCTCTGCGTTGGTTGCCGGTTCATTTTAGAGTAGAGTTTAAGATTTTACTTTTTGTTTTTAAGGTCTTAAACGGTCTGGCACCATCTTATTTATCTGAACTCATGACTGTTAACATATCTGCGAGATGTTTAAGGTCATCAAATCAGAAATTGTTAAAGGTTCCTAGATCAAGGTTAAAAAGAAAGGGAGACCGGGCTTTTGCCATAGTCGGCCCCAAACTGTGGAATAGCGTACCTTTATCTATTAGGATAATCTCTTCAGAATCTCTGTTTAAAGTAAAACTTAACTCACCTTTTAGAAAAGGCTTTTAACATCTGAGTCGTCCTGAGCATGTCTCTGTTGTCCTCTGTATGTACTACCTCCTGTACCATATGACTTTTATGTTGTTTTGATTGGTGTTTTATTAATCTGATTTTATAATTTCTTGTACAGAACAATGGTCAACGACTGTTGCTGTATTGTGCTATATAAATAAACAAAAACACAAACACAAAACAAAGTAGTTTCGCTTTCACAACGAAACACAGCGTCATACTGTGCGTCACACGGTATAGAGTGAGCGGAGGCAGGCGGCTAGAGTGAGCAGAGGCCGGCAGGCTTGCGGCAACCACATGTGACGACCCCGGGCTGGACTCCGCTTCATCCACGGTGAAAGCCGATCTACGCCTTCTTTCTTTGCGTGAACATTTGGGCGGCGTTATGCAAATCTTCCCACATCGTGACGTAGACAAGTGGGGGCGTGTTAGAACGAGACGTTTTAGGTAGGCGTGGTTAACTCTTAACTTTTATAAAGAATATCTCTTTGGATTTGAAACTTTAGTCTTTGCAACTTTACAGATCTTCTTTATGCACCAAGAGCTTGTAACACTCCAAAGAGAAAGGAAAAATTGAAATCGCATCATATGACCCCTTTAACTTCTTTAGTTCTTGAATACATTTTTTTTAGGGAACAAAATAACTGCAGTCCTTATCTTACTGCCCTCAGCAGTCTCTTCATGTCTTACAAAAGGCCATAAGTGTTTTATTGTCATTTTCACAGATCACATATGGTAAAAAAAGCATGGAAATCTGTGAGGAACTGTAGGCTCTGAACAACAACACAATACACAGGTGTACTGACACAAATTTATTCAAACAATGTTTTTCCCCTAGCACAAACTTTGCTCTTCATCCATAAAAGTGTCCTTAAAATCTTTTTTAAAACACATGACCCATTCAACCTGCAGTCGTTTCATCTCAGGACGCATTAACAGGATGCAGCGGTTCACTAAACTCCCACCACTTACCACACTTACAGCATTTGCAAACAGCGCAGTTCACTCGTGGAGAATTATCACTCAATCCAAAATTCCAATTTTGGGCCCATCCTCCTCACAGAAAACTATTCTGTATTCTTACATTCTCAAAAAAAAAAAAAAAAGCTAATTCTGTATGATTTATAATCTTGTTTATAAGCTTGACCTCAATTTAGGTCCCCACGAAGTCCCCATGAGTTGGTGTGAAGACCATGAGACCAGTATAGAAAAACGTGTGCACGCGCACACACACACACACACTCATGCATGAACAAAAAAACGTATATAACATATATACACCTGTGAAACACATGTTAAAAAAAAAACAATGTGTAAAATTCATATTAACACAGTACACAGTATGTACTCGGTACATATTAGAGTACAATAAGACAACACACTGTGCAGAACTAAATGATAATCTTTCCTGTTTCCTATAATCAGCTCATTGCTTTTCAGAGATCAGCAAGCATAGTCTCTGAGGCACATGAAGGCTGATAAATCTATTGCCATCAGTTGCTCAGTATCACAAAGATGATAAAGCATTGATGATCCTGGTCATTCTTCACTCCTTCTCAACCTAAACTCATCAGAATCCTGGGATTGACAGTTTCTCATCTGAGCATTTATTTAATCTGAGCATACATCACATCACTAGATCCAGCACCTGAAAATATAGAAATGAATTCAAAATGCACATTTTTATATACAGTATTTAATTTCATTCTTCTCAATGATGCTTGTAGATGCAGTTTTCAGTGGCTCCTTGTGATCTATGACTGAATTTTTTTAGTATGAC